TTTTGTGACTTTGTGTACTTTGAATGATAACACGACAAGATATCTTATCGTAGTTAATCAATATGATGGAACTATCAGCGTGCTGAATGTTAATGAAGATGGAACATTGGATTTTCAGGTCGACTATGCAGTTGGTAATGGACCAATTTCTGCTTTGTGTGGATATTTTGATAATAATTCGATTATTGATGTGGCCGTGTTGAATCGTCTCGACAACAATGTGTTCATATTGGTTAATTTTCAAGACGACACATTTGAATATGCAGATTGGTTTTTCGTTGGTACCGATCCAATTGCTATGATATCTGCTGATTTTAATAATGATTTGAAATTGGATTTGGTAGTTGTCAATCAAGGTGACGACAATATCGGTGTACTGATTGGTAATGTAGATGGAAGTTTTCAGACACAAGTGATCTATGATGTTGGAAACCAACCAACCTTTGTGGTATCGGGAGACTTTAATAATGATAAGAAACTGGACTTGGCAGTATCTAATAGTGGCAGCTCTTTCATCAGTGTTTTGTTTGGTAATGGAAATGGAACATTTCAGACTCAAGTAAGTTGTGAAGTTGGTAATGGTACAAATATTTTGGCAGTGGCAGATTTAAATAACGATGGCATCTTGGATTTGGTAGCAACTGTTTCGGATGATTCTACTGTTAATGTACTATTGGGCAATCGTAATGGAAGTTTTCAGAGGGGAGTAAAATATCAAATCGGCACTAATCCACCTACTGTGATAGTTGCTGATTTCAACAATGATAGCAGACCAGATCTTGCATTAACGAACATAACTGAAAACACAATCAGGATACTAATAAACTTTAGAAATGGAACATTTCAAACTCAAGTCAAGTATGCTACTGAAGAGATCCCAATATTTCTCATATCGGGTACTTTTAACGAAGATAAGATTTTGGATCTATTAGTGGTTAACTATCAAGCAAACAGTATCAGTTTGGTGATAGGCAATGGAGATGGAACCTTTCGTGCTCGAATACCATTTAAGCTTTCCCACAAAGCAACCAATATGGCAGCTGGTGACTTCAACAAGGACAACAGAACAGATCTAGAACTGACTAACGCACATGATCAAAGTGTTAGTATATTACTGACTGCTAAGGACAATATCTTAGAAAATCTAGGTACATATCAAAGTGGAGTCTTGCCAACATTCGTGATTGTGGATGATTTCAACAGTGATACTAAATTAGATTTGGTAGTCGTTAATCAAAAAGACAACAGTGTAAGCGTGTTGCTCGGTAATGGCGACGGTACGTTTCAAAATCAAAGTTCTTTTCGTACTGGTACACGGCCAGTTTCTGTAGTATCAGGCGATTTCGACAACGATAAAAAAGTGGACCTGGCAGTGACTAACTTTGGTAATCAAAGTATTAGTGTGTTATTAGGTTATAGAAATGGCACCTTTCAATCTCAACGATTTTATAAGACTGGAAAGAGTCCAAGTTCTGTGATAGCGCTTGATTTAAACAGTGATAAAATTACTGATCTAATAGTGGCCAATCAAGGTGAAAGCACAATAAGTGTTCTTATTGGCTATGGAAACGGAAGTTTTCATGATCTAAACAAATTTAATACAAATAAAAACCCAGGTCTTTTATTGTCCGGTGATTTCAATAATGATAGAATAGTCGATATAGGAACAATTAGTGATCGTTGGAGTTCATTTTGTATGTTGATCAGTGGTGGAAACCTGAGTTTTCCTTACCAGAAAACTATTAGTATTGTTATTACTTCTCCAAGTGATGCAATAACTTACGACTTTAATAATGATGGAAAAATAGATATAGCAATAACCGGTGAAAAGGACAACAACTTGGGTGTGTATCTACACCAAGGCAATTAGTTGCTGGCTATATTCTTGATTTATTAAATATCAACTAACTGTTAATGACATCTTCAAGTTCCTTATAAACTATGATTGTTTTATCGACAATTTTTGACTTTGATACTTTTTTCATATTTTACATAATTATTTGGAAGTTTAGCTTGTTTATCCTTTTTTTTTATTCAAGAAATCTTCCTAACCTATATATTTCAATTGTGCTCTTTTCTTTTATGAGTGTAGATAAAGAACATACACACCCGCATCCACATGCCTACACCCAACCACAGCCCAAAATAGATATTAAAAGAAACACTTATTATTTAGCTTCGTAGAGTCATTCTTTAGGAATACAGAAAAAATAAACAATTTTTGAAGCTCTTATGAACCATGAAACAACACTGCAGTTAGTAGACCGTTATTTTTCCTGCACACTATCTATTTAACTCAATAATCAATACTTTCAAAATAAGGAAAAATATCGCGTAACAAAATTTCTAAAGAAAAAAGAAAAAAAATTGTGCTCGGTTTATTTTCTAACTGCTCAACGTATACATGTTCACATTTCTATACATAAAATTAAACTAATGAATGATTTAGAAAATATGTATCTTTTGATACTTAGAATAGAAATTACATGCCTTCTCATTATTATTGTTACTATTATTATTATAGCATTTGACACACATTAAAGAATATAATCAAAATTTGCAGAAGTATAGCAAGCTGTTAATGCAACCCTAACCAGATTAAAATGTCAAACACGACCTGTCTTCAGGATATGCCTGTCATAGTCCTCGAGAAGGAGGTGGCAGTACTAAAGTATCTGCCACAGTTGGTGGCGGAGAAGAAGCATTGCTAAGACATTCTCAAGTTTTACGATCAAGGGAGGAAGGACGCTACTCAAGTGTCTTTTCACATTTGGAGTGAAGCGCAGAATGAACAAGCAAGAGATAAAAATTTTGCCTGAACACAATGAATCTTGTTATATGTT